GACTCCTGGCTCTTTAGAGCAGCCCTTCTCAACCTGTGGGTTGCGACCCCTTTGGGTCACATATTAGATATCCTACATACCAGATATTTACATTATGATTCATAATAGTAGCACAATTACAGTTATGAAGTAGCAACGAAAATAACTTTATGGTTGGGGGGTCACCACAACATGAAGAACTGTACTAAAGGGTCACAACACTAGGAAGGTTGAGAACCACCGCTCTAGTCATTTGCATCTGTTTATCACTTTGTCAGACTGTCCATCACCAAGTCCTTGCTGCCACCTATGGGTGACAAAACACCGGATTTTCCCCATAGCCTTTTTCCCTTGTTGCAGCTTTCAGTAGCTGCAGTTTCCTAGTGGGGAGGATGCAGCCATGTGGGCACGGTCATCAGATCCGCTGCCCTGCCCCTTGCAACACCATTCAGGGCAGTGGGCCGGTGGGGACAATGAGTTACACAGCCTAGAGAGGGGTGTCTGTGCAGGAGGCACCTCTGTAAGTTGGTCCAGTACACTTGCCCAATGAACGCTGCCATGTCCAGGAAAGGGCAGACTGGGAGCTAGGTAAGTCCGGTCTTGGACTTGCAGAATCTGCTCATCCTGTGGGACAGAATCAGAAGCCTGTTCCAGGGGAGCAGTGCAGGGTGCTCCTCAGGAGCTGCCAGTGGATCGACAGGAGAAACAAACTAACACAGCACTTACTTGGAGGCTGCCACTGGCCCTGAGGTTACTGCTTCACATCCAGGAGAGAGGAGCTGGCTGGAACCTGGAGTTGTCTCTGGGAAGTCTGACTGTTCTCATCCCATGGAGACCAAGACAGTATAGGATGGCAAGGTCTGGTTGATGAAGGTAAGGCAATTGGGCCCTGGTCCATCAGATGAAGGCACTGGCAGTGGGAGCGCGAAGGAGACAGATGATGAATACTGCTCACTGCAACCTTGGTGTAGTAATGGGAGCGGCGGGGCTGCGTCCCCAGCACCCTGGCCGCCTGGCTAGCTTATGCCCTGAAATAACAACACACAAACTGTATTCATTTAAACACTGCTTGGCCCATTAGTTTCAATCTCTTAACCCATTTCTAATAATCTATGTAGCACCACGAGGTGCGCTTACCAGGAAGATTCTAGCCTACGTATATCCTGGGTCGGAGTTTCATTGCGAGTGCCTCAGAGAGCAGAGCTATCATGTCTACCTGGGAGAGAGGAGCATGGCGTCTCTGCTCCAGAGAGCAGAGCTGTCGAGTCTGAGCTCACTTCCTCTTCCTCCCAGCATTCTGTTCTGTTTACTCCTCCCACCTATGTTTTAACCTATGAGGGCCAGCCAAGCAGTTTCTTTATTTTTTTTTTTAACCAATGACCTTCCTCCATCATCTTGGGGCCAGGACCAGTAGCCACCCTACCAAGAAGGTCTAGCCTCTTTGCCTGGATTTTCATAGGCCACCTCTTTGGGCTTACTGTGGGGTTCAGGTAGACAGAGCAGAAGCAGACACCACATCTCCAGTGGCCCTCTTGATATCACCTCTGATCTCGGCTGTGGATGAAGGTCCCATTGCAGGTGTCAGTGACAGCAGTTATCAGTTTCTAGTCCAGGTGCAATACAACAGGTGGGTGGTTGAGGAGGTGGACACTAGACACGCAGGGCCGTTCAGTGAGGGCTGCCCTCCCGCCCATTCCTTAGAACTGCACAATGCAGTGTGCAGCTCAGCCTCATTCCACAACTGATGCCAGCTGCCCACCTTAGTGGTGTCTTTCCTTTCTTCTACCCATTCAAACCTCTCACTTTGCTCCTGAGTCACCCCTAAGACAGTCTAGAACATCCTGATCTCAGTCTCAGCTTTGGGGATAACGCAGGACACCCCCAAACCTACTTCTTTTCTCCTTGCAGATGGGGCTCAAACAATTACCCAGTGTCCAAACTTGGTGTGTATTCACACACATCCCCACCCCACATTCAATCAAGGCTGGTGTGACAATCCTCCCGCCTTCCTACATCCCCAGCGTAAGTATCTCTCCTGGGTCGGTTCTCCCTTACTGTGGTCACTGCTATCTTCTGCCCAGACAACTACATCAGTCTGATTTCCCGAGCTCCCATCCAGCTCCACCCTGCAAACCAGTGAGGAACCTAAGCACAGGTGTACTCAGACCCACCCATCCACGCTCTGAGCACCGCCTACCTGCCTAGGGTTATCAGGTGTGCAGAGTCTGTGTGAGCACGAGTCAGCCTCATGGTAGACTTGGGTTCTCCAAACTGTGACTGCAGAGCCCCAAGCTGCTGACACCCAGAGTTCTCAAACAAGATATTCTCCCAGCCTCTGATGACACTGCAGAGGCCTTGCCCTCTCACACACTAGTCTCAATTCAGTCCCCAGCTGATTTCACTGATTGTCTAGAGGGTTCAGAAGATTGAATGATTTGTCCCAGATCACAAACTATAGTTAGGAGACCTGGAGACCAACCTAGGCTGTAGTGTGGGGGTGGGGAGCAGGGTGCCACACAGCTATGACACCATCAAAAAAAATAATAATAAAAAAGTTAAAGATAATCTCAGCCTCAGTAATTCTAGTTCCAGAGGTCCCCCCATAATCTTCCCACATCTGCTGAACACAGATGTGCTGACATATACACAAATGCATATAAATAGAAATAAAATAAATTTAGCCGGGCGGTGGTGGTGCACACCTTTAATCCCAGCACTCGGGAGGCAGAGGCAGGCGGATCTCTGGGAGTTCAAAAAAAAAAAAGAAAGAAGAAAAATCAGATACACAGGAATTTTTTAAATCATTTTAATGTATTTCTAATAATCTTTGCCTCGTCTACCAGACAAACCATCTAAATAAATAGATGCTATAGTCTCTTTTACCCATCAGTACAAAAATAAAACCGCACTTTGTACCTGCTGGCTCTCCCCAGCACACATGCCCCGTCCCAATCCCTCCCAATACATTCATGTAGTCTGAACAAAGCTAGGAGCTCATTCTGTGCAAAGTGGTCTTGTGCTGAGACCTGGCGGGCGGGTGTGGTCCGCCACTTTAAGAAAAAAAAAACTATACCACCTCGCAGACACTGAGCTCCTCCCCCAGTGGGCCGGAGGTGGGAGGAACTTGGCAATGAATTAACCATCTTACCAGATGATAACCACAAAGCCCAAACGGGCTCAAATGTGGCACTTCGAGTGTCCACACCAGAAGCTGAGGCACATCTTCACCCCAACCCACAGTGAGGGAAAAGCACTACCCAACCTCTACATTCAAATGGGTGGAGTCAAGGGAAAGATAAGCAGGTGGCCATGACTCCTCGCTTAAGTACTGGCCTTGGAGGGGGTTAGTGTGTGTAGGGGGGCGCTGTCCACTTGGACACTGTCCAGCTTCAGGCTGAGAGGAACCTGTGTAGCCACTCAAAGCCTGGAGCCATTCTCCCTAGGGAGCCAGACCACAGCAGTCCAGAGTCATATGGCTGCCCTGAAGGATCCCCAGCCCAGGCCACAATCTCCCAGAGCTGGTGGGTTTCATAAAGGGTCACATGAGAGAAAAGGACACTGCCTGCTGCTACAGACAAGAGACAGCTGCCCGGGAGCCGCCTTTTCTGCCCCTTCCCCCCAGCCTCATGATCCAAGTTGTACAGGCATTTAGTCTCGTGCCCCAGGGATGGAGAACATGACATCTACCAGATGCTGTCCCCAGAATTGTGGGCCAGCAAAGAAAAACTTCAGTCACCCATCCCCACCTTCTCTGCCAGGAGTTGGGGCTCTTCCTGACTCCATTTCCTGGCCCACCCCAACATTTTCTAGATTCAGGACCCAGGATAGAGGTGAAGCAGGTCACCACAGTTGACTGCCCTCAATGGAAGCACTGAGTTAACCCTGGACAACTGAGAATTGAGGAGGGGGAGACCAGGGACTTGAGAAGCTTGAGGAAAGAATCCAGACAGATACAGGGTACAGGCTCTTTGGTTTGGGAATGAGAGTCGAGGAGAGAGCCACCCTACCCTTGCTCATGCAAACTCTGCTTGCCTCCTAAAAAAGACTTAGGGGCTGCTGGGACTCAGCCACACGGGTTCCTAAGGTGGCAGGGTGTGAGAGAACAATGTGACCTTGGCAAGGGAGTTGTCCCTCCTCAGGTAGGAAGGTTATCAGCCTATACGGCACCTGCGCAAACTAGCAAACTGCCCCCTCACCAGGACCACAGGCTTGTGTGCAGCTGACTCAAGCACAGTCCAATCCCTACAAGGTATGAGGGGTCATCCTTAGCTGTGTCATTCAGGTTGGGTGGGAAGGGAACACAGAAGACAAGGGCTACCCTGAGAAAGTAGGGGGACACTCCCTTCTTGACTGCCCACACCCACTGGCATCCATGGATGCTCAGGTCAACTGAGCTGCAGGAGAGGGCAGAGAAGGGGTAGTACTAAAAGGGCTGTAAAGTCACCTGAGTCAGAAAGAACATGAACTCCTGTGAAGGAGGGAAGGGCCAAGTGTCTGCGATCCTGGGTGGAAGCATCTGCGCCTTGCACAAAGCCTGGTCCTATCTGTAGCTGAGAGGGATGCCAACAGGCTCAGGCTGGCCCAAGCTGTCTGATCCTGTCAGTCACGTGCCAGATGTGCAAGGTGGAGTGAAGGTGCCGGGGCAAGTTCATTTGTGCTAGAAATCACGCCATGTTCACCTGTCAGTTTCTAAAGGTGTGCAAGGTTCACATGGAGGTCTATAGACATGGGGCAGGTGTGAACACACACACACAGGCAGTGTGTGCACACTGGAGTGGCTGGATGTGTTCATGGGCATCCCTACACAGGCCAGTACTGGGGGGACAGCACATTCAGAGGAGGCTTGGTTGGCAGCCTCTTCTCTGATCCAGGCCATGCCCTTTGTCCTGATCCTGTCCCTGGTAGCCAAAGACAGCCTCCATGTCCCACCACAAAGCTGGAGTGGAAAGTTCATAGTAAAGATCCAAGTCAAGGAATAGGGAGGCAAGGTCGGGACCTCCTGGGCTCCTCTGACTCCTAGGATTTGCCTCTGTCTGGGCAGGGGAGCCCATCCCCATCTGCCCTGGAGATGAGACCCAGACAACACTGGCCTTCCCTCCCTGTCCTGGAGGCCCCTCTGTAAACAACCCTCATGGGGTAAGGGCAAGGTGGTGGGATCTTCCCCATGCTTCTGCTTCTTTTTCTTCCTTTTTTTTTTTTTTTTTAAATTTGCCCTGCTCCCAGCCCCTCCTGTCTCTGGAACTCCTCACCCAAGCCCCAAGGAACACAGTTTAAGAAGACAGGAAGCAGCTGTTCACAGCTTCCCACTGCGGTCTCGGAAGAAGCCCTCGGCAGCCTGAGCCTCACGGAAGGTGACGGTGACGGAGTTGGCGGTGATGTCAGTCACGGTCACTTCACTTGAGGGGAGCGTGGGTGTCCAGGGAGGGGGCCCATTGGCCAGGTCTGCTTCTGCTGCAGCCATGGGACAAAGACACAGATGAGGCATAGGTTGTCACTAAGTGGTCAGTTAGTAGTATCAGCACACAGCCCATCCCCTGATATGCTTGAACCTGGATGCTTAGGAGGGCACACATGCACCTGCCCAGCTGGAGAGGGTGGGCAGGGGTCGGGCCCAAATCAGTCCTCATTGCTCCACAGCTGCACATGGCTTCCAGGCCCTCTGGACAAGGGTCAGGGCCTTTCAGGCTGAGGTCTCAGGATGACTGCCTTACCCTCCTCCTCCTCAGGGGGCTGCTCCACAGGCTCCCAGTCGCCGGCGGCCTGCAGGACATCTGGGGCTGGTGACTCCTGCAGGGAGAGCTCCCGTGGATGGCTGTGACTCTCCAGGTGGGGCCCGCTGCATGGCGGGAACTTCTTGTGTGAGAGCCGCAGGTACTTGTGAGCCTTGCGCGGCTTGCAGAGTGGGAAGGGCAGGGTGGGCACCAAGGGGCCCTTGTCCACCAGCTCAGCTGCCCCCACCTTGACCACCCCCTCGGGGCTCCCGCTGCCGAGTGGGCGCATCAAAGAGAAGCAGAGCTCCTCCTTGCCCTTGGCTTTGTGGGAGCTCCGCAGGTCCATGCTGTACAGCCGCTGCAGGGGCAAGCCAGGGTGCGGCGGGTCAGCCTGCCCCTCCCACTGCGGCTCCACTGCTTACACGGTAACTCCCCCAGTGTACCCATCTGTTCCACTTGCACCTCCCCCGTCCACGGACCAGGGCCCACACCTGTCCCCACACCTGCTGAGCTCAGTCATCCCTTTTGGCCACAGCGTGGGCCTTGCCTCCCCAGGGCTGAGGATCAGGGCTGCAGGGCTGCAAACTAACCCATAGGGGAAGGACCACAGCTCAGTGGCACAGCACTTGCCTACCACGTGCAAGGTCCTAGATTTGATTATCAGTGCTATGCAAAGTTGAAAAAATGAAACAACAACAACAACAACAAAAAAAACCCTGGATTTCTGAAGTAAACACACCGAGATTTTTTTGCCGTTTAGAGAGAGGTCTTTGTCTCCCAAGGAGCCTTGAAAGCTGAAACAGGATCTTCAGGGATGACAGAGGCAAAGGGAGAAGCTGCCTCTGCAGTCTGCAGGCAGTCCAGCCTGCAGGAGCAGAGTCCCAACTATTCTTTGCAGACAGCTGCCCTGGGCCCTCTCTAGGGGCTGGGTCTGTGCTGCCAACTCAACCTTGGCGAAGCAGAGCAGGTTGGAACTCTAGAATGGGGAGTCTGCCATTCCAACTTGGAGTAAAATTTGCACAGCTCCAGAATAAAAAAAAAAAAATTCTTAGATCGAGACCAAAGAAGATCCCATATTACTCAGGGACAGCATCAGAGGCCATCCCAGGACAAGTGGCCATCAAACGGGGCCATGAGATCACAAACCCTCAAGGTGGAGGAAGTGATGACACACGCCAGTCCCACACCACTCTGCCCTGCCTGCTGATTGCCAGGCACACATGGTATGGGTCACTGGCAGGATGAGAAGGCTGCGCAGGGGACTTCAAGGCTTTCCCTGAAGCCAGCCCTCAGGAGACTTCAGGGTTCACAAGCCATTTCAAGGGTAGTTCCTTTTGGTTCTTTGTTACCTCATCCTGAGCTCCAGTCAGAGCTGGATTCTACCCTGCCGAGTGACCCCAGGCAAGCCCAAGCCTCGCTGAGCTGTAAGCACTTCATCAGAGTGAAAAACAGACCGCTAGCCTGAGTCCAACAGCACCACCTTCTGGACTTCTGCAGTGTGACTTCAGGCAAGGCCACAAACACACTGTGGCTTCTTCCTTGCTCTTTGATCACCCACTTGACTGGACACCACACAATAGGACTGTCAACCTCCAGTACCACGTCACTGGCACATGAGCAGTGACTGGGCAGGCAAACTTCTGTTCCAGCCCTCAAACATCCTGAAGGGATCCACAACCAGCTGAGGCAGCACCACCTTCCCACAGAGACCGTATAACACAATAACAGTTTCGTTTTCTAGGTGCTGTGTTGGGGTAGTCTGTCTCACAGCAGTAGATGATTGATACAACTACCATCTGACATAGAGAGGGAACATGTGTGCTGGGTGCATGTCTAGCAAAGATCACTTTCTGCCCTAGGGCCAGTTTATGACAAACCCATGGGTCATCGCCACCTAAAGGCAAGCCATCCTGTCCACTAAAGAGAGCCTGAGGTAATCAGGCACCAGGAGTGGTTAAACACATACAAACTAAATGCCCAGATGCACCTTATGAAATCAAGAACACATCCTTTCACCCACCCTCTTATAGGTGAGAAAACTCAGACCTGCGCAGAATCACGGAACAGTGTCTGTGGCTTCATACTCTGTTGGTGGCTATGCCAAGACTTAAAGCACCTTGAGAATGAGGACAACACAGGCTTCACAGGCTTCTCCCCATCCAAAGAGAACATGGTTCTGTAAGTCTGCTATTCCAAGGTCATGTTCAGAATGCTAAGAGTGTCCAGTCCTTGGATTTTTGCAGTCCTAGCCTGCCATGCTTTCTCAGCACATAGACCCTCGGTTATTTGGTGTTTAGAGATTTGGAGAGTCAAAAAGGCTCATCCACAACGTTTCAAGTTCTCAAAGATTGGCTACATGACTACCTCAGGCCCACTAGAGTCCCCATCCCAGGCTGACCTTCCTGGCTCCAAATCCATGCGCAGCCTTTGCCCAACTCCTTCTACTGAAACAAATCCACTGAGTGTCTTGCTGCACAGTACTCTGGCTGTGCTGGGTAAGCTGAGTAAATGACGCGAGGGCCAGTGCACATGCAGGTGGGGAGGCGGGAGGTGGGGTGGTGGTGGTCAGAGACAGTGGTTACCTGCAGCAGAAGCCGCTTGGGTTTCGGACCTCTCTTCCTATAGCCTGATGCTCGGTCTCTCTCCTCCCTGGGAGTGCAAAGAAGGTGACAGAAGAAAAAGAAACTGTGACATTTAAGAGACATCACCCCCCTCCATCATATGCCTGGGTTGGGGGACACAGGCCATTCCACACTCTTCCTCCTTGCTCTGTGGAGCCATAACAGACATTCAGCTTCCAGGGCTCAGCCTTTAGTCTGAAAACACACAGGTCCTTGCTACACTCCGGGGCCACACAGGGCTCTACCGCCTATGCCACTGAGGACCCTGTAAGAATGGAGCTCTGCTCTCTACTCTCACTCAGAACCAGAACAGCCTTGAGTGTCCTGGGCACTAAGAACTATAGCAAGCTCCTTGGCAAGGGGAGGTGGACACAGCCATTCTGTCTGGGATCTATTGGAACCTGCAGAGAAAGGGTAAGGAAGGAGAAAGACTGACCTGCAGGTGCCCTCCCAACAAAGACACCCTTAACCTGTATGACACAACTCCAGACTCCACGTGGCAGTGCCAAAAACGTGGGGATACCAGATCCTCTTGTCTGTCTCAGTTCACTCCACACATTCTCCTGCAGCCCTACCATGAAGACCTCACAGACAGCAGGGAGGTGGAGCAGGTGGGAGCTCGCTCATTCTCCATTAAGGTTGAATGAGACCTCCTCATCTGGGCTATCCATATACCAGTCATCCCCAAATGTCTTAAACTGGTCTTGGTGGGAGCTACCACAGCCCTGCCGGGCGATAATCTCCTGATTCGAGGAATGGGCACATGGCCTTGGCTCTTCCCACAGCTTTCTTTGCCACAATCTAAAAGTTGGGCATGGTGCCACATGTCTACAATTCCTGCATTTGGGAGGTAGCCAGGTCTATATAGTGAGTTTCAGACTAGCCAGGACTATATAGGGAGACCCTGTCTCAGAAAACTGAGACAGTCCATAGGACTCGCTCAGTGACACAACCCTTTACACCAGTGCTTTTCAACCTTCCTAACACTGCGACCCTTTAACACAGTTCCTCATGTACTGACCCGCAACCATAAAATTATTTCATTGTTACTCTGTAACTGTAATTTTGTTAGTTATAAATGATAATTTAAATAGCTGTGTTTTTCGACGGCCTTAGGCGATCCCTGTAAAATAGTTGTTTGACCCCCAAAGGGGTCATGACTCACACATTGAGAAACACTACTTTAGATCAGGATCTCACCAAGAAGCAGAGAGAACAGAGAGAAACTATGGGACAGGAACACCATCGCTGACTTAAGAGCAATGATGAAGGGCTGGAGAAATGACTCAAGTAGTTAAGAGCACTGGCTGCTCATGTAGGAAACCCAGATTCAGTTCCCAGCACCCACATGGAAGCTCACAGAATGTTTGATATACCAGTTCCAGGGGCAATCTGACACCTTCTTCTGGTTTGCAGAGGTACTGCATGCACATAGTGTGTGTGTGTGTGATGTATACACATATATACATATACATACACACACACACTCAGGCATTCACACATACACATAAAATCAAATAAATATTAAAAAGAACAAGTCTTGTAAAAACAAACAAAAAAACCAAACCAAAACAAAAAGGAACAGTGATGACACATCCTTTGAATCTTTGAATGTGCTTCCAGAAGCCTTTGGGGAGAAGCAATAGTGTAGCAATGAGGACTGATCAGATCATGCCCTCAAGGTCCCAGCTTCTATAGGCAAAGCTCCTGGACAAGCCCCCTAACTGCTCAGGGGGTTTAGATTCCTCATTCCAATAGCAGCCTCATTCCTTTGTCAAGAGATTACCATAGGAATCAAATAACAAAAACAATTGTCAGTATGCTGGGTGGTGGTGCATGACTCTAATCCCAGAACTTGGGAGGCAGAAACAGGCTGATCTCTGAGTTTGAGGCCAGCTTGGTCTACAGAGCGAGTTCCAGGACAGCCAGGACTGTTAAATAGAGAAACTCTGTCTTGAAAAACTAAAAACAAACAAACAAAACAGTGTGAGAACCAGACACAGTAGCACACAGACTAAGTCCAGTAAGTAGAAGAAAGAAGAGGGTGAAGCAGCCACAAGTCCAGGTGGGCCAGGGCTAGCAAACACAGGTATGGTGGGGGAAGAGAACCAGTGCAAGTCATCACTGAACCTCACACACGCACTGTGGCACTCAGGTGCCCCCACCAAATGTAGTTTAAAAACGACAACAGGTGTGCCACACTCTGGCCCAGGTGGGAGCAGGGAAGCCATGGGAAGGTGGGATCATGACTGGAGGTCTAAGGTCAAGCCGGAAGCCTTCCTCACATCCCTGGCTTTGCTTGGCCTCATCAGCCTTCCTTCTTTGACAGGGAGGGTCAGATGCTGCCATTCCCACATGAGATACATCTGTCAATGCTTCTGAATGAATCCTCAGCCTGGGACCAGGAAGCCACAGGAGGGCAAAGCTGGCAGATAGGGAGGATACAGGAACAGGTCTTAGATGCCCACCACCTTTCCCTGGCACGCACAGCCCGAACCACCCAGCCCTCTTGCCCAGGGCTAAGCCACTGGTTGGAGCAAGGCTCAGCCCAGGCCCAGAACAGGCAGGGCCCTTACTTCTCCTCATAGGCCATGACGAGGCGGGGGTCCAGGATGTGCTCCTCTGGCTCCCATGTGCTGTACCTGGGGAGAAGAACAAAAGATCAGAGCTGCTCGGCCACCACAGTGTCCCAGAGGTGCAGCTGTGCTCTGTGCCAGCCTACCACATAGCCTTGGCCTGGCCTGTGCAGTTATGAGAGCCTTAGCCACAACTCCATCCTACTGCAGACTCCCAACTAGATCTCTCATCCTCCTGAAGCTTAAGGATGCCTTTGGCCCTCATCCCACAGCCTGGCAGGGGCTCTGGGGCTAGCCTATTTGGGTTCAAATCCCAGCTCTGACCCTCGCTGACTGTGTAACCTTGAGCGACATACTCAGCAGCCCTGTGCGTCCGTGTCCCTCCTTGTGAAGAACGCAAGGACTGACCAGAGGTCTCAGGGCTGTTCACAGTAGTGGCTGGCTGAGAGAAAGGGTTTGCTATTTGTGTTTTTTATGTTGCTCGGCCCCAGCTCCAGCTGCAGCCATCAAGCAAGACCTGTAGCCCCTTCAGCCCCTTCTCTCTGAGCCTGGCCCACAACAGGTGTCTGGTAAACGTCTAGTGATGACTTATATCTTTTTTCTTTCCCCCAGAGACAGGTTTCTCAGTAGCTTTGGAGCTTGTCCTTGAACTTGCGCTACAGACCAGACTGGCCTCAAACTCAGAGATCCGCCTGCCTCTGCCTCCCAAGTGCTTGTGCTACCACCACTGCCTGGCAATGACCAATATCTTAAAAGAACAAAAAATAAAATTCTAAAGCAGTAAGTGGTAATACGAGTAGAAAAATCGCTGGGCGGTGGTGGCGCACGCCTTTAATCCCAGCACTCAGGAGGCAGAGGCAGGGGGATCTCTGTGAGTTTGAGGCCAGCCTGGTCTGCAGAGTGAGTGCCAGGATAGGCTCCCAAGCTACCTACATAGAGAAACCCTGTCTCGAAAAAACAAAAACAAAAAATAGATAGATAGATAGATAGATAGATAGATAGATGGATGGATGGATGGATGGATGGATGGATGGATAGATAGATAGATAGATAGATAGATAGATAGATAATGCCTGGTTGTGCTGGTCTACATACTGAATTCCAGTTCAGCTAGAACTACATGGTGGACCCAATCATAATTAAAAAAAAAAAAAGTGGCACTCAAACATACCGCTCCTGGGGCATGCACTCAAAAGACTACTGCAGAGATACTTGTTGTTCTGCGTTTTTTCTGCTCTCTTCATCATGGCTAGGAAATTAAGTCAATATAGATGCTCATCAGGTAATAACCAGATAGTGAAATGTGGCACCCATATGCAAGGGAACGTTATTCAAATGTAAAGAAAAAAATAAAACAAAGAATTCACAGGAAAATAGATCGAAGTGGAAAATACACAAAATGAAGTAGCCCAGGCCCAAAAAGAAAAAGCCTAGCTTCAGATTTTCAGATTTGTGTTAATTTGCAGTGCCTGTGGAGATCAGGAAACCAGAAAGATCCCAGGAGACAGAAGGAAAGAAGCTTTGAAGCAGGAACGGGGGAGCAGAATGCCAGGGTGGAAAAAGGCGTAAGTGGGGATGAGAGCAAGAGATGGGGGAGAGTTCACCAAAACTATGGATGTATGAAAAGTCAGTGGAAAACCCACCAATCTGTAAGCTAGTTTTTAAAATATAAAGGTTGGAGATGGCTCAGCAGCTAAGAGCACAAGCTGATCTCGTAAAGAGCAGGATTTCAGATCCCAACTCCTAGGACAGATGTTCACTACTGCTTGTCCCCCTATCTCCTAGGGGCTAGTGCCCTCTTCTGGGCTCCCTGGGCACTTGCACTCATGTGTACATAACCAAACACATGCAGAACCACCACCACCACCACCACCACTACTACTAAAAACACACACACACACACATATGTGTTTTTTAAAGAGGTTAAGGGTTGGTAATATGCTGCCCAGCTTGACAATCTGAGTTTGATTCCTGGTATTTCCCAGGTAGACAGAGAGAACCAAATTGTACTCTTAACAACCACAGTGAGACTCAAATGCACCTACACACACACACACACACACACACACACACACACACACATTATTTTTAAAAACATGATCATGAATGGAGGTATCCTATGTGAGTGGATGCTGCTGCCTCCAGAAAGCACAGGTTATTAAATGAAAATCTCAGTGCCAGGCATGAGATGCCTCCCTATGAGTTGTTTGACAAGAAGGCCTGAGGGCCCAAAACAAAAGCATTTGTCATTGCTCTTGGTTGCCCACCAAAATTAGGTAGTAGGACCTTGATATTATAGACACCGCATATTTTTATTATAGTACATAGATAATCAAGCTAAAACTGACCTGGGAGTTTCTTATTAGTTTTCATAGTTCTGAAAGATTCCAGGCTACTTGGGAGAAAGCAACTGATAGTCTGACCCAGAGATGATCCTCGCTTGCTCTAATACTGACTGGCTAAGCAGGATGCTACCAACGGTGCAACAGAGGTGTAAATGGTAAACAACCGACTGCTTTCCGAATTGATTGGAGGCCAACTCCACAGGAGAAAATTTACGCTCAGGGCTGTTAACCTGGTTATCATAGCTCCTAGGAGGGAACCTATCTGCTGGTCTGCTAAAGGGACATGCTGTCAAACGGCCTTCTAAGTATTTGTTTAAACCCGTAGATCTGTGCTGCTCCCAATCTTAGAGAAGAAGCTTTTTGCAGTAGGCAGAATTAATGCAGACTCAAATATGGTCAAAATGCAGTCAGGTATGGTGTCGCACACCTTTAGTCCCAGCACTCGGGAGGTAGAGGCGGGTGGCTCTCTGTGAGTTTGAGGCCATCCTGGTCTACAGAGCGAGTTCCGGACAGCCAGAGCTGTTATACAGAGAAGTGTTGTGGAATAGAGTATTTCTTTAAGTGTGTAAAGATGTGCTGCTCCACCTTGCCTGCCTAGGGCACCTGAATGGTCTAATCAATAGGTGAATGGCCAATAGCTAGGCAGAGGAGGGCAGAGAGAAACAGGGAGCCAGCCAGACATGGAGACCGCAGGAAAGCAGGATGGGCAGCATGTGGATGAGGTAAACGAGCCTCGGGGCAGCACACAGATGAACAGAAGTGGGCTGTTATAAAACCTAGCGAGAAACAAGCCTAAGCTAAAGGCTGAGCATTCATAATTACCAAGTCTGTGTCATGGTTTCGGGGCTGACAGTCCAAAAAAGCCTGCTACAAAGAAACTTTGTCTTGAGAAAAAACAAACAAGAAAACAGAACAAAAGGAAAATGTTGCAGTGCTGAGAATAAGTTAAATTTTGAGCGTTCAGCCTTAAACGGGACATCTATACTAGCCCTCCCCCACAAATCTCAGGAAACATCACAGAAGAGCAGGCAGAGGATAAGGAATGCTGTAAGATGCTATTCTGAACAGCACATGGCTACCACACTCCTGAACGCACAGGAGCTGTGGTTATTTGCACAAAATGGAGGCTGTCGACATTTCAGTACAGATGAGGGCAACGCACACGAACTACGCCCCTAGTCCACAGCTGCTGGGAAGACACCTATAACCCAGTAAATAACCCCAAATCCATGTATAAGCAAGCAACCACAATTAAACTCAGTGACTATAAATACGTGCGTGCACACGCACGCACACCCACACACGAACACGTTGGGAAGAAAGGTTCCAGGAAAGGAGATGAAAGGGACGTTAAAGTCAGGCGCACACCTTTAGTTCCAGCACTCCCAAGGCAGAGGCAGGATTTCTGAGTCCTGGAACTCCCTCTGTAGACCAGGCTGGCCTCCACTCATAAGATCTGCCTGCCTCTGCCTCCCTAGTGCTGGGATTAATGTCGTGCACTACCATGCCCAGTGATATGTATTTTTTTTAAAAAATTAAACCATGACCATGTTCTGTGATTCAGGCCAAGGGCATCCTGGGGAAAGTGACAACTGCCTGAGAGGTCTCATGAGCAGGGAGAAAGGAGGTAGAGACACCCTAAGAGCTAAAACCTTTCTCTTAAGTCTCAGGGACACTGGACCAGGAAGAGGGAGAGGGGCAAGCGCCCAGGCACAGAACTCCTCCTTCCTTCCTTGTTTTCAGCTGACCAGTGGATCTTGGGCAGCCTCCAGAGGTTCGTCAGCCCCTGTGTGCACCCTCTCCTGGCCTGGCAGCCATCTCCCAACCATCCTTAAGAACCAGGTTCTGGTGGATTCCTGGCCCAACTGGTCCTTGCTAAGCAGGACCAATTCAACTACGAATGCACCCGGCTCAACTCAGCACCAGGTGTTCTAAGAAAGCTGCTGAGCTGACCCCCACCAGGGCAGGTGGAACTCAAGCCTTCTGCCCTCCCGCTCCTATCGGCCCACTCCTTACTGCTGCAGCTACTGTGGGATTCCCACCTTTCTCTGCACTCAGTTTCTTCATCTAAAGAACAATTGCCTCCACCGACTGTCACGAATGCAACAGTCTACTCTGAGGAATATTTCACCGAGGTAGGTTCTTAAATAATCACTCCAGTTTACAGATGAAAACAGGATGCACAGAGATTAAGCACCTTGCCCAAGGTCACCTCCTTGGGCTCCCCCACAAGCTGGAGCATCCCTGGGGGGAGGATCACTCTGCCTATATTATCTAGCCTCTCTTAGCCATAAAACAACAGAAAAGGGCAGTCAGAGTCCTAGAACCAATTCCCAAGGCAGAGAAGGGAGCAGCCGGAGGGATGGAGGTGGGAGGACCGCTAATCCCCCCCACCTCGAGGCAAAGTGAAGCAGCGAGGTCTTGCAGAAGGGTTCAAAACTGGCAGCAAAGTGCCGCTGTAAGCATCTGGTGCGCGCTCGCGCACTCAAGCACAGGGTGAGGGTGGGAGCCCCATCACTGGAAACCTACATGGGCGGGCACGCCTGCCGGCTGGAGATAAACACGACCACGTGACCTTAGTCCCGCCCCACCGCCCGGTAAACAAGCTCCGCCACCGCACCCCGGCCCCCGCTCCTCTGCAGTCCCCGTGAGCTGGGGTCAGGCGATGGGGTGGGGCGCAGCACCCCAAGCAGGACAGGTCGCCGACCGTGGCCTGCCGTTCCAGGGTGGGGGAGGGGCCTGCTGGGCAGTACACAGAAACCGGGCGAGCTGGGGCCACGCGGAGCCAGGCCAGCAGCAGCTCCAGGACTCCAGTTTCAACCGCCCCAACTGCTGAGCCTCATTCTAAACCGAGTTTCCCTGTAATCCCTTAGCTTTGAGTTGGGGAGAAGATTCGATGTTTTAAGCCACATGACGCACATACTTATAGAATCCAAGAAAATTAAACCAGCTTCAGAAGCCTGGAGTTGCAGGCATGGCTGCCAGGGCTAAACAAGGCGTCTTGGCCTAGAGAGGAGGAGGCACCCTGCTCTGTACCTGGCTGCCAGGATGCATTAGTGATTCCTAGCAGGCTTCATTGTACATGAGGAAACGGAGGCACAGCCTGTCAATCATAACCAAAGTTCCTAAGGAGACATGATGGGCTGACGCTAGAAAAGCTAGCAGCAAGACACCCCTGGGCCGCTTTAGTGGCGCTGGCCACATATTCCAGGGGTAGATCAGAATCTCAGAAGAGGACTCTCAATCTGTAAAAGTGGGTGATGCCTGGCTTTTACTGGGGCTCTCGCACTGGCACCTTGGTAAATGACGTCATTACTGAAGCTCCAAGGAGCGTCTTTTTGAAAAGATGGAGCTTGGGGAGTAGCAGGGTGCTGGGCAAACAGGTAAAACAGAGCACCTGATGCCCCCGGAAGATCCAAGAGTTCCCTTCTATTACATTACTGGAGGGGGGGGGCGTTATTTGCCTTTTGCTGGGGGAAAAATGGACAGGAACAAAATGGCTGCAGTGGCCTGGCAAAGGTACCTTCCTGTCACTATTATACTAAGTAGTTCCCTACCTAGCCATGAGGAGGACCCAAACCAGACAACACCCACTCCCCACACTTTCTCAGCCTCTGCAAAGCAGCTGGACCTGACCCACCCAGGCAGCAGGCATCATATGAAATGGGGATTATGAGGTAGAGTTAGCAGTCATGTTCCGGTCGTAACCTCAGTTTTGCCGTCTGAAAAGACTATATTATTCTGAGCAAACTTAAGCTCCTATTTGGAATGGAATCTTTCCTTCCAACAAAAAACACAGCCTACAGGCCCACTCAGCTGACCCTGTACTTTTAGTTTAACTCTGAGAACATCGGTTCTGTAAGAGGCTTTGGGGTTCAGTATTAGGAGAGCAGCAAGTAGAGGCTGAGGAGTTGCCCAAGGGCTCCTAAGTGCCCACTGGGCAGCCAGGCCTGAAATCTAGAAACAAAGAGAGCAGAAGGCATCACCCTAGGTGATCTAGCCCAATGACTTTGGGAAGAGACAGGAGAGCTATCAAGGCCCTTGCTCCCCTTCTCCTCAGGGAAGCTGTGGATGTGGCCAGCTGCCTGCGGACAGCAAACGGAGCCCTGTTCCAGCCACTGGCTGTGCCCCTTTTCCTGCATTCCCTCTGCCACTGTTCCCAGGCCAGATGACCACCAGGGACCAGTGGAGGGAAGACAAATGTGTTATCTCCGTGTTATCACCAGCACTCCTGGATGCCCGTGGTCCACTCTGAACCAATGCCCAGGCCTTTCAACCTGCCAGGCTAAGCAGCCTGTAAGAGAAGTGAAGTCCTAGGTCACTGAACCCACTTCGTAGAAGGGAACACTGGAGGCACTTGAGTACTGACTTCCCCTCTTTCCAGCATCCCTCCATAATACCCCAGGACCGAATCACAGGTCAGCCCTCTCCCCCCAACACACACACAAGAGGAGAAAGTTCCAGGGCTGTCAGAGCCATCAGGAGAGCAGAGGGGGTTTCCAGAAGCCAGGCTCTAGGAGGCAGGGCAGAGCGGTCACAGACCAGTAGAGAGGTCCTACATGTAGCTTGTTCCCAACCCCAACAACTCTTTGGTTAGTGAGAAGGCTCCTCATCAGGTTCCCACACCAGAGGTTCATCTGCCGTACTAGGTATCCTCCCTAACTCTCTACCCCACAACGCCAGGAAAGAATATTGGAAGACAGAGGAGAGGCCTGAAAATGGTCAGGCTTAGTTCAAGTCCCAGTTCTGCCTCCCCTTGCTGTGTGACCTAAGGCAAGCTGCTTCTGGTCTCTGACTGTTTCCTCAGCTGAAAAGCTCAGAATCACATCTATTTAAAAAGAATGCCTGGTAACTTACTCTGTAGACAAGAGAGTGCCATCCAAATACAAGAAGACCCAGGTTCTGCCCCCGCCCCCCCAGCACTGACTGGGGATCTACCGCCAAGATTCCCATCTGACCTAGCACTGTAATTGCTCCACATGGGACCCCCTTCACTGGCCAGCAGTCGTTGAGGAAGCCAAGGGGCTGGGTCTTAACTACCATGGCCAGAAGAAAGGGGGCAAGATGAGGGGACAAGCAGGACACCCTCTATAGCAGAGGGGACTGGAGGGGTCCCCAAAAGCTGATGATTTAGTCAGGACTTGCTATTCAGTCATAAAAGCAACAGGGGCTGAAGCCAGCATGGGGAGAGGATGACAGGTAGGGGACACACACAGGAGCCTTACTTGGGGGGCCATCCTTTCCACTTCACCAGATACTCGACTTTGCCCTGGGAAAAGAAAAATGGAGACAGTGAGATACACACCCCTACAACCCTGCAGGACAATGAAGGCCAAGAGACCCCCAGTGGCAGTATAGTATCACCAACCTATGAACAGCAAGGCTCCCTCTCTATCAGATCCTCAACCCAAGGGACAACTCCCCCAAACTCTGGCTACTATATGACCATCCCATAGCCCTCCCTGCTGCAGCACGGAAGGTACATCTGGTCCCAAACATCCCTGGAACCCGAGACGGGGTCATGTCACAGAGGGAAACCGAGAGCACATGGAAACCACGCACAGCCACGCACAGCAGCTCAAGTCCCAAACTGAGACCAGAATCCCTAGCTCTCCTCTCTGGGAAAAGCTGCTTATGGGACCCCATTGAAAGGTGGCCGTCTGTCCGTCCCTTGTTAGAAACTGGAGTCTGAAGGAAAGGGACCTTAACTGTCCACCTCAGCCCCATGCACTGGGTGAAGCATCTCCATACCACGGCTTTGAGGTTAATCTGTAGCACCTTGCTAAAGCTTTCCTCCCTAGCACCACACAGTGGACAGTTCTTTATGAAACAGCACCTAGTCTGCCAGAGGCATCAGTATTGACTTCCTCGTTCATCCTGCCTGCATCTGTGCCCTTTGCCAGAACGCTAGCACTGAGAGAAACAAGGGAGCCTCGGGCTCAGAGTGGTACCTGGAACATCCTGCAGCCTCAGTTTAGGTTTGGAGAGCTGAGCCGAACGAATGAAGGGTTCCTTCCTCTTTGACCTACCCCTGTACCCCGTCGGAGGGCATGATGGCTATACCCGCTTCAGTCTAGTACCCTGGGCAGGCACTCTAACCAACAGACAGTCACAGCCCCACGCCACCCACTCCGGGCCCACCCAAAGCCCTGCAGAGGATCCCACAGCAGGTGCTATCCAGCCCGCACTTCAGTCAAGCGGGAGAATGTGGCTGCCAGGAGCCTCTCAAGGAGTTGCAGGGAGAAAACGGAAGGGGACCCTCGGCAGACCCAAGAGAACTTTTCTTTCCCAAGCATATGCCCAGATCCAAGTTCACTGTGGGACGAGCCCCTCGGCGGGCACGTGCACAAAGAGCGTAGACTTGAGGTGCGGACCGGAAACTCTGGGCAGAGGTGTGTGGTCCTGAGCGCGGCAGAACCGCCTCCTTAAATCTCAGGGTGTGAGTGGAAGGCCTTGGCAGAGGGGGGCGGAGCTTCGAGGATGCCCCAACAACAGTGGCCCGGGCTGCGGAGCGGCACCCGGCTGGTCGGTGGGGGAGGGGAGGATTGGGGAAGAAGAAAGGTGTGCCCGGGCTGGGGGTGGGGGGGTTGGGATCGGGAAGGTCAAAGTCCAATAGGAAAACTTCGTAGGCCAGAGGAGACTTTTTCCCAAAGCTCTGCTGCCAACTTCAAAGGGCTTGGTACTAAAACTCCGGAGGGCCGAGTTCGAGACTCACTTGGACTCTGACGCACTAGCGAGTTGCTTCCTCAACTTGGGCTTCAGTCTCCTCGAAACTGAGCGTAAAGGGAATGAGGTGGAATGGAGTTCAGAATCTCCAGTCCCGTCCACATCTCCATCCCAGACGGCCTCAGAAGCACCAGCATCTCAGGGCAGCAACTTTAACTCTACTGGCCCGCCACAGTGGCGGGGAAAGTGAGGGACGGGGCTGTGAGGCCGGCCAAGCAGCGCCGGGTCCCCAGGTGTCCCCCGCACCACTTTCCGCTCTGCCCGACCTGGAGGGGGCGGTGCTGGGGAGCAGGAGGCGACCTCGCCGCGTCCCGGGAGCCGCCCCCGAACAGCCTCACCTTCCGCACGCGCTTCTTCCGGATGCTCTCCACCGCAAACACCTGCTCGCCTATGGCTGACAGCTCCATGCGGGGCGGCGGGCGACGGGCCGGGGGCCGGGTCGGGTCGGGGGTGGAGCTGCGGGGCCGCGGCTGCTGCGCGCGATGCTCGGGCCGGCGGGGACCCCGTCAGGCTCTGTCCAGCGCGCACGCGCACGCGCGCACACCCCCTAGCGCTCCCTCACGCCGCCGACGTTCCATTTTTGAACCTGCGCAACGTTTTCCTCAGCGCCGGCGAGCGGGTGCGCGCGCGCGGGCGGGCCTTGGAGAGCGCCCGGAGGGTCAGCTCCGCCCCTCGCCGCCGGGACCCCGCCCCTCTCCCTAACCCCGCCTACTAGCCAAGTTGGGCGGCTGGTAGCGCGTCTGATGCTCCCGACTTGTTTGGAGCGTGGGGTGTGAGCTTAGCCGTCTGCGGCGCACCCCATCTCTCTCTCCTCGGCTTCTGAGCTGGCTGTGATTATTTTCCTGGAATCCTCCCAATGATTCGGAAGGTCCAAAATGGTGTGACTCTGAAGCCCGGAGTAGCAGGCCTGTAATCTCAACATTGCGCAGCTGAGGCAGAAGGATCAGGAAGGAGTTCGTGGCCAGACTGCACTGCATAAGACCCTGTCTCAAATAAATAAATTAAGACAGGGGTTGGAGAGATGGCGTTGTGTTTAAGAGCAGTTGCTGCTCTTTTCAGAGGACCTGCGTTTAGTTCCCAACACTCGCATTATGGTTCACAACCGTGGTTCCAGGGGATTCACTGCTATCCTCTGATCCACGTGGCTCGTACGTGGGCAAGCAGGCAACCACTCATACACTATTTATTTTAAAAAATTATTTTAAGACAGAAGGTAGAAGCTTACTCTTTAATCCCAGTACTGAGGCGGCAGGGTCAGGCTCATCTCTTGTGTTCGAGGGCTATGGAGAGGGGGGGGGGGGGGGAGAGACCCTGTCTTAAAGAATAAAATAAAATACAAACGAAATTTTAAAGAGTGGTGTGGGGCCGTGTTATGCAGATAGGAAACAGGCAGAATAAGCCGGTCATTTGTTTCCCTTCCCACAAAGGAGACCAGGCGCGGTAGGAGGGGCGGACAGCAAAGGTTTCCCACCCGGAGTGCGCAGTCCCAGCAGGCCTGAAGATGCCTCTGCGCCCACCCCTCCATGCTTCCACCCATCAGCCCTTTCCCAGTCCTAGTCGGTGGTGGAGAAAGCACAGGTCACACACGTGAGCGCGCGACCCAGAGGGCCCAGGCCGGCAGTAACAAGTCATCTCAGGTGGAGACACCTTTTTTTATGGCAGCCGACCCAGCCACGGACTAGATTCCCTAGGCCTTCCTCCACCTCCTTGGTTTTCTGCACTTCTGTCGTGAGCAACGAACGAACACCTAATCCCCGACCCAGCCCTAAGGCTTTCTCTTCAGTGGAGATGAGGTCGGAGTCGCCCCCACTCCGCCCGCTTCCTCCTCATTCCTGCCTCTCCGACCTCCCGGAGTTGATTTAGGGCCGCCCCTCAACATCACCACCCCCACTACCCGGATTCTTAACTACCTCCTCTCGCTGCGTCCCCCTCCCCCATCCCTGTGACCCAATGGGCTTTCTACCACCAAACCCGACCGAGGCACCCAGTGCTTAGATACATCCCGTAGTTCCCTAGTCTTAAACTCTAAACACCTAAACCCGGCAAAGACACAAAAGAGAATACTAGATTGGCAAGTGAGTTTTTACCAAGCGCAAAGGAAGCCTTAAGGCTGGGGACGTCAAGATCCTGTCCCGAGAGAAAATTACCATCATCGAGAACTGTATATTCCGTCTGGTCTGCTAAGAACAACGGTACAATAAAGACATTTGCAAAGACAGACACTAGGAATCTGACCATCCCTGAGGGGAATTCCAAACGGGGAATTGAGGATCCGGGGCGGGGGAGGGGGGGTGAGACCGGGAAGAGGTCTGATTCAATGACGGAGAGACAATGAAAAAACCACTGATGGTTTGTTTCCAAAGCAGAAACGCGTTTTCCAGAAAAAAGGCAGACGGGAAATTAACAAGAGCCATGGGTAACTAGGGCGACTGGAGTTGAAGTGTGCTAAGATCCTTACACATCCCGGTGCAAAATGAAGACGGGATAAGTTGAGAATGCGAGTTGCCAAGGTTAGGGTAAACACCAGACGCGTGCAAACGCTGAGAACCGCGCTGTGCACAAGAGTAGAGGGAATAACCGAAGAAAGCAACCCAGCAAGAAGCGAGAAAGATGAACAGATAATAGAAATACGCATGTCCTGTGACTTAATAAAATTTAGTGGACTAACACGGTAGTCCTTAAAGTCCGGCTACTTGAAATCCCAGCAGAGTAATTTACACGAAATAACTACAAGGGGTGTTTGTGAAACAAGGATAAAAAATGGACAGAGAGTAGACAGCAAGCAAATGCAAAGGGAAAGGGGCCAGCACGGCTATTTAAATCAGAGGGAAGATCCATTACAAAGACAAAGGAAGCCCCTTCACACTGAAGGGCCCACTTTGCCAGAGAATGGTTTCAAATTGGCATGCAAAACACCAGAGTTGAAAGTCCAAAAAAACAGAAGGAAGATACTCCCAAAAAACCAAAACAGAGGAATCCACAAATTCTACGGGGAGGGTTGCCCCCCCTCAGTGGACTAGTGGGAAAATACTTAGTAAGATACGGAAGGAGATTTGAACACAATTCCTACACTTGCCTGACGGACTAACTATTCAAGAGTCAACACCAAAAAGCAGATTCTTTTTAATATAAAAGGAATATTTACCAAACCATTTCACCTCAAGAAAATTTCAACACATAAAATAAACAATAAGGTGAAGGAAGCAAAAAGCCAAAGGGGCTGGCAAGACCAGTGGCCTGAGTTCCATCTCTGGAACCCATGTAAAGTGGAAAGCCAGAAGTGACTTCACACAGTTGTTCTGTGACCGCCACACACATGCTGCGGTACACGCACCTCCATATATATATGTAATATATATAGGGCATAGACGCAGTAAGAAGTTAAATTCAAAACCTTCATAAAAAGATAACATCAAAAGCCCCAAATATTTTGAAGTTAACAAAGATGTTTCTAAGTAACGATCAAAAAATCATAATGGAAATGATACAATATTTTAACTGATTGAGAATGAAAATGTTACATACTTTTAAATCCTGAGAAACCAGGCGCTCAGTGGTGCTTCAAGTGAGGTAGAAGGATCAAGAATTCCAGGGTAGAAGCTGGAGAGAAGGCTCAGCAGTTAAGAGTACCGAATGCTCTTCCAGAGCCGAAGACTGGGGTTCAATTCCCACTAAGGACAAGACAGCTCAGAGCTGTCAATACATCAGTCCCAGGGCCTGGAGGGCACTAACGTAAGTGGTACATAGACATACAGACAAGCCAACCTCAAGGTTTCTCTTTGTAGCCCTGGCCATCCTGGAACTTACTCTATGGACCAGGCTGGACTCAAACTCAAGAGATGTGCCTGCCTCTGCCTCCCGAGTACTGAGATTTTTTTCTTTTAGAAAAGACTAACAGTGCTGCTAGCCCAAAATAACCAAGAAAAAAGAGAGAAAATGCAATTAGCTAACACCGGGGTGAAAAGTGAAGAATCTGCAGTGTTGGGAAAAGGAAAGTGAAGAGATACAGGGAGATTGTGACTGATTTTATCATGGTCCCCGGAAATCTAAACTGCTCGGGCAAATTCCTAGAAAAAATGTCTTTCCCTGAAAAGCATGCAGAGGAAGAATAACGCTCCATGAGCCTCTTCCCTGGTGGCCAGTGCTTCAGTGAGGAATGAGGCAGTCGCTGGCCTCCAGCCTCTCTGGACTACAGGCAGGCACCCCCAAGCCCAGAATATGTGCTTAAAATCAAAGTAAATTAGGAAGTAAAATCAAAGTACAAGGAAATGACTTGTCCCCATGAAAGTATCTACAAAAAAAGAAAAATCTACAGCAAATTTCCTCTTTACTGATGAATGCTGAAGGTGTCTGCTGGAGACGATGGCCAGGTGAGTTCAGGGCAACTCCCATTTCCATTGCACCAGATCGGAAGAGCAAACAAACCCCAGCTCCTGGTCAAGAAAACTGGTCTTCCTCCGACCAGCTCCCGCGAAGGCTTACAATTCCAGTTGGGCTGGTTCAAACCCTTTGACTAAAGGACCACCCCTAGGAAGGCGGGCTCACCCTAGGCCATGCCAAAGAGACCCACCCTGAGTGCAGCATCTTCCAGACTGTAGCCACACAAGGGTCTCCAGTTGACCTGAATTTCTGATTTGAGTAAATTTTCCTTTTTTTTTAAAAAAAATATTTATTTATTTATTATGTATACAATATTCTGTCTGTGTGTATGTCTGCAGGCCAGAAGAGGGCACCAGACCTCATTACAGATGGTTGTGAGCCACCATGTGGTTGCCGGGAATTGAACTCAGGACCTTTGGAAGAGCAGGCAATGCTCTTAACCACTGAGCCATCTCTCCAGCCCTCCTTTTTTTTTTTAAGCTATCTTTTCGGAGCATGCTTTTCTTAACCCTTTCTTCCCCAGCATGTTGGGCTTCCTTATAGTTTCTTCCTAAAGTTTCTCTCCCTACCTGGTCGCTGTCTGTCGGTCACACATGTGACCATGTCGGCTTGAATGGCATGGCCTTTTCCTTTCTCTCCTCCACCTGGACAGCTACTGAGGTTTACAGCTTGCTGACAGTTTTTCTAAAACTCTAATAAAACTGACCTTGTGCTCTCCTTTGAGCCTATTCTTAAATTCTTTTATTAATGCAACCAAGAACCCCAAGAAGGGACCTCATTTGTCGCTGTATCAGTAATAGCTTGAGTGGGTAACCACTGGCCACAGTGACAATGGGGCACGTGAGAAGAGTGTACTAAAGACAGATATAATAGTAAAAAGAAATACAGATTTCACAGACAGTACTACCCAGCTAGTCATGTGCACATCTAATTCAGAAGACAGGCGGTCAGATCTCTGGGAGTTCTGGGTGAGCCAGGTAGGTGTATATAGAAAGACACTGTCTCAAACAAACAAAATTAGTAACAACAACAACAACTAACCAAAAAACCAATACCCATTTCCTAGTGTAACATATCAATAATTTTTTTTTTTTTTTTGATTTTCGAGACAGAGTTTCTCCGTAGCTTTTGGTTCCTATCCTGGAACTAGCTCTTGTAGACCAGGCTGGCCTCGAACTCACAGAGATCTGCCTGCCTCTGCCTCCCGAGTGCTGGGATTAAAAGCATGCGCCACCACCGCCAGGCTAAAAATCATTTTAAAAAA